AGGCCGCCCGCCCTCGCGGGCTGCAGGGCTCGGACGCCCAGGTTGGGGGGAAGGAGGGTCGGGGTGCGGGACGACCCCTCCGCCTGCCCGGCGTCCCTCCAGGCGCAGGGCAGCCACTGCCCACCGCACACTGCGCTGCTCCGGACCCACTGTGCGTGTGACAGCGGCTGATCTGTTCCTGGGCAGCGCGACCGCCCCGGCCCCTCTGTGACCCTGTTCTGTCGGGCAGGGGGAGGCCACACCGGGCAGGGAGAGACCACACCCGGTCAGAGGGCGCGTGCAAGGCGGGCGGGCAGGGCACCCCCGTGGAAGGGTCTGCCTGTGTGCACCCAGCAGACACCCCGGGGTTGGGAGAGAAAGAAGGGACATTGAGAGGCGTCGCTGCCCTCCTCATGAGAGGGCTCAGGCTGGGCCAGATGCCCTCTTGGAGGAAACTCCCTTTTCCTTGTGTGTCAGGTTGCCAGGTTGTGCAGCGTTCCTGGGACGGCCTTCTGGATGCCACCAGGCTGAGGGCAGCCCTGGGCAGGCGCGGACTGGAGCCTCCAGACCAACCTCCTGAGGGCCACCTCTGGGAACTTGCATAAGGAAGACTGACAGACTTGGCTGTCCCGTGCATTCCTGCCACTTGGGCAAGGGCGCTAAGGGAGTGAGGGCGGCAAAGCCCCCTTTGCAGCGCCTGGCAACAAGCCCCTTCAAGAGGTGGGGGCACCTGGCACAGTCCCTGGCCTGACCGCTGGGCTTGCCTTCTCTGCGGGGTGCTTTCAAGTCCACTGAGAAAACCTGCTGAGCGTGGAGTGTGCCCAGAGCAGCCTCCAGGTCTGCAGATGCCAGGATACCTGCAGCAAGCCCTGTCCCCTCTCTGGCAGTGGGGGTTGATGGCTGGAGCTGGGCCTGCTGTTGTAGGAGAGGCCTGAGGGACTTGCTTGGACTGACTTCCTTTTGGAAGGTCCCTGTCCTGACGGTCACTGTGGTGTCACACCCAGCAGGCTTGGTAGGGTCAGATTCTGCAGGTGACAGGGAGGCTGTGGTGGCCTTGGGGTTGAGAACCAGTGGAGCTGATTTACAGCCACTGGGCAGTGACTTAGTCTGGGTGACCCTCAATGAACCCAGGTATCTTAGCCAGCCCTGGAGGGCACTTCTGTGCTGGGGGTGAAAAGGAACTCTGAGGTTCGTAGAAGTTCCAGTGCTGTCCCCGAACACAGCCTGACCCTGAAGGGCAGCAGTGACCAATGGTGATGGCCGCCCCATCCTCACACCAGGCAGAGTCCTGCCCTGAACTGGGTGTTTGGAGGAGAGCTGGGCTCTTCCTCACCTCAGCACAGCTCACATCATTGTCTTCAATGTACAATTTAAAACTCAAAAGTAAACTTTCCAACCACTGAGGTTTGCGTAGTGATCTGAAGCACTTCTGGTAACTTTTTGGTGGGTGGGATTTTGTGCATCTGGAACAGCCCCACCCCAGCCCTCTTCTCCACCTCGGCCGCTGGAGGAGAGGAACCCCTCTGAAGTGGGCTCCTTAGCTTGCCCAGAGCCAGTAGCAGACCAGGGACAAGCCCCTCGCGGTGGCCTCAGGAGCAGGTGTCCCTTGGAAACAGGTGCAGGAGAACAGGAGGCCGGGTGTGTGTGAGATCAGCCAGCTCTGTGCCTGCTTCCCTTTGGGGCTGGGAAACTTGGTGAGGAACTCATGACACTGGGGAGGGTGTGGGCTAG